TTTCTGCTCTGATAGTCAAAATTCTTGTATTGTTGTCTTTATATCAAAAGATTTTACGTACCCTTAGAACCATATACAAATTCAACGTTATCCGATTTTTCGGGTAAATAGTTTGGCGCCCACCGTGGGGCTAAGGATAACAGTAATTGTTTGATATAAATCTACAGTACACTCCAGCTTGCAACTTGAAAGTCAACAATGGCTATGCCTATCAACCTCGACGCCGGCCTTCAAGATGAAATCAATAACTTGACACCCAGGGCCGGAAGGCAAATTAACGATGTCACCAAAGCTCAAGTTGAAATACCGACAGATGTCAATTCACAAGTGGCTCTTGAGGCAAACAAACATTCCAAACCGGAAAAAAGCGCTCAAGGCGACACTCGGTCTATAGCTCGAGACACCCATAACGGGAAGGAGATCGGAATCAGCTTACGGATGATCTTCGAGATATTACAAGCCCAACAAGCAGCGATAACCCAGCTACAAAGCCAAAATCACATACGTAGCACACCGGAATCCAACCCACTTCGAGAAATCACCCCAAGAATGGAACCAGCCGTAGAGAAATCGAATGAACAGGAATCGGGGACTACTCCCGAAATTAACAAGATGCTCGAGGAACTCACTAAACGAGTCGAGGCCTACGAAAAAATTGTGGAAAAGTACAATTCCAGGATCGATCAAATCCCGGGAGCTCCACCAATGATGAAAGGGCTAGATTCGAAAAAATTCATTCAAAAGCCTTTCCCTTCGAGTACGGCCCCAAAGCCAATCCCCAAGAGATTTCGTATGCCCGAAATACCCAAATATAACGGAACGACCGACCCCAACGAGCACGTCACTTCTTACACGTTTGCCGTCAAGGGCAATGATTTGGAAGATGATGAGATCGAATCAGTGTTATTGAAAAAATTCGGTGAAACCCTATCAAAAGGGGCTATGGTATGGTATCATAATTTACCATCTAACTCTATTGACTCTTTTGCTATGCTTGCAGATTGCTTCATAAAAGCGCACGCCGGAGCCATTAAAGTCGAAACCAGAAAGTCGGACCTGTTCAAGGTAACCCAAAAGGATAACGAGTTGCTAAGGTAGTTCGTATCTCGTTTTCAAAGGGAACGAATGGATCTACCACTGGTCACAGACAATTGGGCTGTTCAAGCTTTCACTCAAGGTCTAAACGAGCGTGGCTCGATGGCGTCACGATGGATCAAACAAAATCTGATCGAGTACCCAGCTGTTACTTGGACCGATGTGCACAATCGATATCAAGCCAAAATAAGAATCGAAGATGACCAGTCGATGTTCAGGTGAGTTACAAAAAGAACTACCGAACAAAAATCGGCCGGAGATCGATACCAGCCATATAGTGGAAACAATGCTATTGCTAAGTATCCGAGGCCTTTTTAAAATCAACCTCGCATGGGGAGCTTTACCACTGAACACATCTGTGATGATTATCAAAGTTCAGAGCAAAGGATGTTACTTCGTTATTTCACGACAAATAGTGTCTCAACAAAACAAACAATGCTTATGTAGTTGGCCCGAGCCTGATGCAAAACAGGAACGCATGTATTATGACTTGAGTGATCAATCTTCTTTATCGATATTTTATGATTAATTATGCCTACGGGCTATTTTGTATCGAGTTCGAATAAGCATTCACTCGACCACCGAGCCTACGGGCTATTTCTATTTCGAGTTCAAGCAAAGCGCTCACTCGACTATTATGCCTACGGGCTATTTTGTATCGAGTTCGAACAAGCATTCACTCGACTACCAAGCCTACAGGCTCTTTTTATTTCGAGTTCGAGCAAAGCGCTCACTCGACTATTATGCCTACAGGCTATTTTTGTATCGAGTTCGAACAAGCATTCACTCGACCACCAAGCCTACGGGCTCTTTTTATTTTGAGTTCAAGCAAAGCGCTCGCTCGACTATTATGCTTATGGGCTACATTGCATCAAGTTCGAATCCTTCACTCGACTGCAAAGCCTACGGGCTACTTTTACCTCAAGATTTGCACTCACTCGACCATTACACCTACGGGCCACATTATTTCAAATTGAAGATACTCATATCTCCGAATTCAAACGAACAGCTGACTATTGAAAACTGAAGGATGTTCGAGCCTTTCAAAACAAAGGGGACTACCCACAAGGCAACAGAGATTAAAATTCAAGCTATCTACTTAGCCCGTGAGGCTATTTTGCTTCAAAAGAAGAGAAATTTATATTTACAGAGATATCTACTCTGCCAAAAGGTTCTTTATGCGAAAACCAAAAAACGATACCAAAAGAACACAGACGACCTAAGCACTTAAGTGACTCAATCTTCACCGGAGGCTGTATTTGCAACATCGTCCTCATCTTCAGACTCCCCCGAATCATCGGAGCCCTCTTCGGGGAAGGCCAACCTCCAAGCTTTGTTCTCTTCCGCCCTGGCAACTTCAATCTCGATCCCAACATCGAAGCCCTGAACTCTTACCTCCTCGAGAGCCTCTCTCCGAGCTTGCCATCTTGCATGTTCGACCATGCTCTCAGCTTTGGTTTGGTTAACCTCGACATCAATCCGGAACTGAGCCACTTTGGCATCAGCTCTTTTATTAGCCTCGATGGCCCAGATCTAGCCACCTGAAGTTCTTTGGCCGAATTTGCCTTGTCGGAAGTGGCCAAATCCAATCGGTGCTGAAGATATTTCATCTTTTCGATCATCCCCGAGGCGTTATCTTTTGCCGATCGAAGTTGGGCTTCGGACAGCTCCAACTGAGCTTCAACGGCTTCCTTTTTCGAGGCAAGTATATCCATACACTTTTTGAATTCAGCTGCCTCGGCCAGTAGCGCTTCTACCTGCGAGTTAAGTCGTCCAACCTGCTCGATCCGTTGCCGAACCTGCAGAACCGGATCATTAGTAGTTATCTCTTCTTCATCTTCACTATCATGGAACATTCGAAATACCTGCTCGGCCATCTCCTCATGTCCTTCCCGAGCCGCTGACAAGTCCGCTCGAAGATTTTCACTAAGGTGTCTGTACGAGTCACTTTTCTCAATAAGACTCCAAACCTCGGCATCATGCTCCTCCCGGATGCGAAGAAAGGCTTCGTGATGCAACACTGAAGCCTGCGAACAAAAGAAGAAGCATTAAAATTACCAACAAACTCTAATGTAAACCTAATTACCATTAGATTTACCCGATTCAAAGCATGTTGGGACTCGTTGAAGAGACAAGCAGGCCCCACTGCATTCATCACTGATTGATCCTCTTCGGTCATTATGGGCCGAAGGTAACTGGCGACCCCCGCGGGGGAAGAAAAAATTCGGGTATCCGCAGGTACGGAAAACTCTATCTTCCGCCTCCGGTCAGGATCGATACTTGGNTTCCTCTTCTCCGAGATCGGGGGACTAGGTACGTCTTTTCTCTTCTTTTCCTTTACCTGCTTCAAGACAGGAACGTTTTCGTCACCAGATGGGGGCCTCATGACTACATCTTTCCCAAGTCCTACAAAAAGGAAAATGGGGATTTACCATACGAATCGATGGAAAAGCAAGTCTAAAAAGGATTTACCATGATTACGGCCCTCCCATCGACCCTTTGATAATTCTACCCAAGCATGCTCGGAGTATGGTCTCTGCAACACCAGGATTTCAACCCATTGCCTAAGGTCCAGGATCGGTTCCGGCACTCGAGCTATGGCTGCGATTAGGAATGAAAAATGGATCAACAAAATAGAAGGCAATCAGCGAAATCAAAACAGGCAAATAAAAACTTTTGCTCACGGCTCATATTCCATTTCTCAGGAAACGGCAAGTCATCGGCTGATATCAGGTCCGAGGTTCTGACCCGAACAAAGCGGCCCATCCAACCCCGATCCCGAGTCTCGTCAATACTCGAGAATGGCGCTTTGGTTGCTCGGCGAGCAAGCTTGATCAACTCTCCTCGATAAAGTCGGGGACTATAAAGGCGCATAAGATGGTCGAGGGTGAAGCTACGCCCCTCGCTCTTGCTCGAGAAAAATCGAAGAAGAATCACTATCCTCCAAAAGGAAGGGTGAATTTGGCCGAGTGTCAAGTCGTACCTCTTACAAAAGGCAACGACGACAGGGTCCAAGGGTCCCAACGTGAAAGGATAAGTATAAACACTTAAGAACCCTTCGACGTAGGTAATAATTGATTCATCGGGTGATGGGATTACCACGAGTTTATTATCCCAATTACATTCATGTATAACTTTATCAAGAACCTTTTCGGTAATCAAACATTGATACCTCGACATCGGCTCATGCCGACCCGGTATCGGAGAAGGCTTTTCAATCTTAAAATCACCTACAGTCAAACACCCAATCGGAACGAATTCCTCAAGGCGGGGCTCTCCCACATCCTCATCACTAGAAGGTCGAGAAGAAGAAGCAGTCTCTTTTTGCGGAACAGACTTAGACGTTTTTGCCATTTGAAAATGTCGTAGACAAGGAATGAGGGTATTTTGGTGCTCTAAGGAAGAATTCCGGGGAACTTGAAAATTTGGGAAGTTTGAAGACATGAAAATGACGAATGGTGGAAGAAAAGGCCATTTATATATTGAAGCAATAATGATTCAGTATCAGATGTGGCCGACCTCCGCCTGACACATTAAATGCCTCGGTAAAACCAACCCGACGGGATAGCTATCATTTACATCATAGTCGATATCGATGAAAACGTCAGTATATATTTAATCGAGATGTTGGGAAATCATATAGTTTCTCATTAAATTCTTCTCCGAGAAACGAGGGGACTATCTGTATACGGTTAAAACCGATTTTAGTCATTCATACGGGCTGGTCGAAGATAATGATGTATCGATCAAAGGACATCTGCATAACATGCCCGGTCAAAGTACAAAATAGGGACGTCGAGCTCCGAGCTTCAAGACCGGTCAATGACCTATTCGGTATCTTTATCGAGCATCGAGAATGACCTATGGTAGCTCGATATCATTATCGAGCTCATACCCAAATCAGACTACGAAGCAAGGTAGAGATCATCGAGGATACGGAGACCGACCAACTTGCACGCCAAATACCGAGATCCCCAGGTCAGAATCGAGCCTCGACCAAGGCCGATGGCTCGGTCCAGTATCGAGCTCGAACTAGTATCGAGCTCGCGGACAAAAGTCGTTACAACCGCACCAAGGTAGAGAATCTTAACGGAAATCAAGGAGGAGACAAATCATCATGGGTCCTCCACTATATGTATTATTTTATATTTTATTGTAGATAGAGCAATGACCCTCTCTTATAAAAAGGGCATCCTTGTAGACAAAAAGGCACCGGGACTCATACATAAAAAGAGATCTACTTAAGCCTGTGTTGACGCCATCCTACAAAAGATCTTCCTGTTCATCTTTTCTGCTCTGATAGTCAAAATTTTTGTATTGTTGTCTTTGTATCAAAAGATTTTACGTACCCTTAAAACCATATACAAATTCAACGTTATCCGATTTTTCGGGTAAACAAATATAAATACCTAACATCGAGCGAGAAGCAAAAGAATTTGTCTCTTTTCTGAAAGTTATCGAGTGGTCTAAAAGACTTGATTGTGAATTACAATAAGATTTAGAAGACTGTCAGAAAACTTTATTAAGTGTAATGTGACAAACACATCTATCGTCAGTTTCTTTTCTTTTCTTTTCTTTTCTTTTTCCTTTCTAGCTAAAAGAACTAAATGCTATATAAGTTAATTCCACTTCAATCTGTACATTCGAAAGTGATAAATATAAAAATGAAGTCAGTACTTTTTGAACAAAGGTATTGTTGTGTAAGGGTGAAGCTACGATACAGGTTCGGCCGAATACATTAGTTTTGGTCTAAATCATATATTTATCTTAAAAATTTATTAAATATATTCAAATTATTATGTTAAACTCATTAACTTAAACGAACTATAATCATGAACCCATAAACTTTAAATCATGGATCCACCTCTGATGTTGTGGTATTTTCCCCGTTTATATACCCTTCTCTGATGATTGTTCTATCCTAATTATATTGTACGCGAAAATTTAATTGTAAATCTACTAAATAAGTACAAATAATCGAATTAAAATATAATAAATTAGACGAAACATAATAGAACCCGGATTCGAACCCCTAAAATTCAAATTCTCAATCCACTTTGATAATGTCGTTTGCTAGTGAAGGTTTGCATTAATTAGAAATGGCGCAACAAGTCACAATTCGATTCGAGCTACAATCTGTGATCAGTTCACAAAATTATAATCATCGATCTAGTGCAAATATATGACGAATAACTTTTTCCTTTGACCCCTGTTAAGAAGTTGAATTACAGAGAGTTTGAGCTAAATCTAACACATGCAGTGACCAATTCAAGCGTATGAACTAGAGACAGAAAGTAGAGAGAAAGAGGAGGAATATTTTCATTTCTTCTGAATTACTTAGTCGAGAGATTATAGAGTGTTTTTGGAAGGAGGTGCACTATTATAACTAACCCATGTGCACCTCTTTCCTAACTAATATTTTAACCCCTAAAGTTTATAAGGTTACACATAAGTCCACACTACTCTTCTATCATAAGTTGCTGTCTTGTAAGGACCCCAGACATCAATGTGCATAAGCGGAAAAATACAACTAGATTTGCTGCTACTAGTAGGAGACTTAAGCCTACTTTGCTTAGCTAATGGACAAATTTGACAGTTTTCTTGTACTCTTTGATTCACTTTGTTCTTCAAGTCTAGCAAATATTGCATTGCTATTGGTGATGCATGCCCTAACCTTTGATGCCATAATATTGTATCTATAGATTCCTTTTGTATTGAAACTTCTGCTACTACTCTCTCCCTCTTCAGTATGTATAGGCCATTGTTCTACTTACCAATCCCCAGTACCTTTCCATTGAAGAGTCCCTGAAAGACAACAAAATCAAGGTAGAAGCAAGCTGAACAATACAGTTCTTTAGTCAATTTTGATACTGATAGCAAGTTGAACTTAAAATCTGGAACATGAAGAACATTGGTAATTCTTTGTGTTTCCATTACTACTGCATCTCCTGTATGAGTAATTTCAGATCTAGAACCTGTAGAAATTTGCACTCCATCATTGCTACCTTTATCTATCTCCTTAATTCTTTCCAGAATGCTCTTGCAAAAAAGTGATATGATGTGAGGCTCCTAAATCTACTACCCAATCATATGATTGTGCATTGGATAGTAAAGATACAGTACCTGCAAGATTTGCAGAACCATCTGAGCTTGAAGTATTCTCACTAGCTGAAGATTTTGTCAGCATATTCACCAGCTGTTTGTATTGATCTTCTGTGAAAAAATTACCCTGCTGATACTGATTCTTCACATTCATATCCTCATATGTGTTTGCAACATTAGCATATGGTTTCCCTGGATTGAACTGTCCTTTCTTCTTACTTTTGAAATCAGGAGGATAGCCTATGATTTTGTAACAATTTTCCTTCAAATGTCCTTTGTATCCACAATATTCACATATTAGTCCTGGCCTTTTATTCTTAAATGCCTGACTTTTTCCTGCTAGCATTGTTAAAGGATCTCTATTGACCTCTACTACACCAAGTTTTCTTTGACTTTCCTCTTGCACCACTATTGAATATGCTTGATTAACAGTTAGCACTGGCCTTTTCAATAAAACATCACTCCTAACATGACTATAGCTTTCATTCAATCCCATTAAGAATTGTAATAGCCTTTGTCTTATTAGGTGATCCATATAAGGCCTTGATTCTTCACAATCACACGAAGGTAAGGGTGCTAATATGTCTAATTCATCCCAGAAATCCTTCAATTTTGAAAAATAGCTAGTTACAGAATCAATACCTTGTCTTAGGGTTGTAATTTCTGTCCAAAGCTGATAAATTCTAGTTAAGTCGCATTTATCAAATCTCTTCTTGAATTCATCCCAGACCTTCTTCACACTTGAAGCATACATGATGCTTGGCACCAATTCTGCCGAAACAGTACAACTCAACCGTGATAATACTACCGCATTGTATCTCTCCCACTGTGTTGTCAGATCTCCTCGAAATGAGCTTTTAAGGCAAGTTCCGTCCACAAACCCTAATTTGTTCTTAACCAGTAAAGCAACTCGCATAGATCAACTCCAAAGGGCATAATTTTCTGTGAATTTATCAAATCTCTCCTTGAATTCATCCCAGACCTTCTTCGCACTTGAAGCATACATGATGCTTGGCACCAATTCTGCCGAAACAGTGCAGCTCAACCATGATAATACTACCGCATTGCATCTCTCCCACTGTATTGTCAGATCTCATCGAAATGAGCTTTTAAGGCAAGTTTCGTCCACAAACCCTAATTTGTTCTTAACCAGTAAAGCAACTCGCATAGATCGACTCCCAAGGGCATAATTTTCTGGCCTTGTAAGTTTGAGTGAAATAAGCGCAGTTCCTGGTTCATCTGAATCCTTTAGGAAGAGTGGATGATTGTGAGGGAGCTTCGCGATTTCATCATCCGCCATTGTTGAGCTCAACTGTTCTTCAACGATCGTAGAGACCTAGACACTAAGAGTTACTGCCGATCCAACAATCGTTGCTCTGATACCATGTTAAGAAGTTGAATTACAGAGAGTTTGAGCTAAATCTAACACATGCAATGACCAATTCAAGCGTATGAACTAGAGCGAGAAAGTAGAGAGAAGGAGGAGGAATATTTTCATTTCTTCTGAATTACTTAGTCGAGAGATTACAGAGTGTTTTTGGAAGGAGGTGCACTATTATAACTAACTCATGTGCACCTCTTTCCTAACTAACATTTTAACTCCTAAAGTTTATAAGGTTACACATAAGTCCACACTACTCTTCTAATCTCAATACTCAATAAAGGTCAACGAATCAATAGCACATGATCTGTTTAATCTAGCAGACTAAATTTTAAAAGCTTTACAAAATCGTGGAAATTTTGGTTGACAATTAGCTAGACATTATCAAATGCAGGGAGAAATTAACTCATGTATATCGGCTTTGCTAATATCAATAGCTAATCCATTTAAGATACCTAATCACATATTAAATCGTATTTAGTCCATCATTTTTTTTTCCTTTTAAGTACTTGGAAGGGTAGTTGAGATATAACAATTCAATGCAGAATGCCCATTTCTAAAATAAGGAATCTCTACTCAATACCTGATCAAAAATGAGCTGGCTAAAGTCATGGATACAGAGGTACTTTACCCTATCAATTGGGACCCAATACATTAGCCTTTTTTTCTGTGCTCTATGCTTAGATCATAACTTACATATTTAGGCTAGCTGTAAGGGTGTCATACAAAGTACAAACAATTGCTTTTGGACCAGAACACAAGAGAAATCATAGGATTTTTTTTTTGTCCTTCAATATCACAAATATACTCCTCCAATTAATCTATATTTGCATTGAATAGGCCTATTGAAATAAACGCTCGCTCTTCATTTTCCAGACTCGAACCTAAGACAGGGGCGAATCTATTCAGTAGATACGGATGACACGTCACCCGCAAACTTTGGTCAAAACTTTGCATGTAAATATGTATATATATATGTATAAGAAACGGATGAAGGCAGCTTTCGGCACCCGCAAGGTTCCAGTGGTAACAACATCTCTATGTTTAAATTGGTGTGGCACTCGATACCTCTAATGTCTCTGACTTAAGACTCTTGTTAATTAAAAGAAATCCCAACTATCTCACTTTATTTTCGATCATATAAACATTTTGATTGTTTGAATACAATGTGATGCAGTCTTCTCAAGCAGAGCTAGGTCCCTATTACCAGATTGGGAAAAGGTCCAAATTTATCCCTCTTACTTTTGAATATTGTCTATATCTAACTTCCATTATACTTAGGATTGTGCATAATATGGTAAATACTGAATTACCATAACAAAATCGAAAATTTTGGTATTTGGTATTCGGTATGGTATTTGGTTTAATTTTTTTTTTTAAAATTGGCATTAGGTATAGTATTTGGTATTTTAAAATGAAATACCGAAATACCGATACCGTACCGAAATATATATTATATTGCATAATACACATATTATTAATTATAACATAAATATAAGAAAAAATAAAATTTTATTTTTCTTTATTCTCTAAGTTCATCAATTAACTCTAAGCAAGTAATAAGACATTTCTAATGATCAAATTTATTCTTTTACGTACAATTTTCTCTCTCTTGGTTGATATATGTTGGTTTTGGACAAAACTTTTGTCAACAAATATTTTTTGTTTTGTACTTTTGAGTACTTTAATTAAGAATATTACAGTCTCTTACTCTGCATACCAGTTAGTATTCAAACCGAATAAACTGAAGTTATCGAACCGAATAAACCGAAACCAAAAGAAGAAAAACTTAACCATACCTAATTTAATTAGGTACGGTATTGGTATAGCATTTTAAGAAACTAAATACCAAAAAATACCGAACCAAAATGTCTAAATATCGTACTGTACCGACCGATGAACATCCCTAGTTATACTATTCAGACAAATTTATCCTTACCGTTTTACTTTCCGGCCAAATTTACCGTTATCATCAGTAAACTTTTAAAAATTACCCCTCGGTCCGTCAAGTGACCCAAAATCTCCCAAATTATTTTAATTAAGTCACTTATTCTTCTTCTTGATCCACTATTTTTAAAATAGTTGGCATTTAATTACCGGATTTCTTAATTAAAAATAAAATAAAATAAGAGAAAGCAATATTAAAATAATGCAGCGGTTGGTAAACAAATTATAGTAAATTGAAGAATCTAAATTAGGTAGTTTATCTAAATTCTAAAATTATTTACAATAACACGACTTTAATGAATTTGTTCTACAAAAGTTATGGAGACTTCACAAGTATTAGTGATAGAAGTTGAAGTTCCTTGGAGACTTTGCATTGTCGAATTCAATTTTGCTTTAATCAAATGCCTACTCATTGTGTACTCTTAAGTTAGTCGATCGAATACTAACTAGACAATTACAACATATATTCGAAGGTATATGTACATATATGATGAGCGGACGCATATAATATATAACAAATAGACCCACAAAATTCTGCAGTGTGCATATGGTTAAAAAATTATAAAAATTTAAATTAATTCCAAAACCATTATCACAAGTAGAGAAGTGGGTGCAATGGTAATTTAAAATATTCATGAATAATTTGTGTAATTTAGCTCCTTTAGTATTCATATTAATAGTCATTTCTGAAAATAGTGGATCAAGAAAAAGAATAAATAATTTAAATAAAAAGAGATTTGGGAGATTTTGGGTTACCTAACGGATTGAGGGGTAATTTTAAAAAGTTTACTAATGGTAGAAGTAAATTTGGCTAGATAGTATAACGGTAAGGATAAATTTGACCGAATAGTATAATATAGGTTAAATGTTGATAATATTCGAATTAAATGGTTAAATTTAGAGATTTTCCCTACCAGATATTAGTACCAAGAATTGGGAGTCTCCGTCAGAATGTGATTAAAGTTTGTACAGAGACAAGGACAAGTTGAAGAAGTTTCCATTATGTTTTCACTGAAGTTTCAGAACCTTTGACACCAATATAGCTGTCCCTCCTACGCTATAATTGGGAATGTGACAATTGTCCCAACAGCTAAACTTCTCTAGCATTCACCACGTCTTTGTCAGAAGATCATACATAAACTACATTTTTAGGTTAAACATGTGTGTATCTTTATATCCACCCTAGAAACAATTGTTAGTTGATAATACAAGGTAACTTCATTCGTTAATTATTTTGAAGAAATATTTGATTATATGAATTTTACTTAGTTGATTGATTCACAAATCACAAAAGAAACAAATTGACGAGGTCGATTCCAACTCAACTTAATTGGTTCCTTTGGCTGCTATGGAGAAGTTGATGTCCAGATATCTTTTAAGACTCAACTTAGAAAAAAGACTTGGATAAACGTAAGATATGATATTATTTTGTTTGGATTGATTTTCTTGTCTCCTTTGTATTAGTGTAGGTCGATGCCTTAACTCGCCGTTCTGTATTCATTTATTAACTAGTACTAGTACAATTCGGCCGATAGGCTTTCAGAAATTTTTTTATTGAAAAAATGAATCCACACCCTAAACATTAATAAGAAAAAGAAAAACAAAATACCAGAATTATAATCTTGTCTTGTTTGCAGATCAAAGGATACCATTTTAAATTAAAATCTATCCATCTAAATACGTAAAGAGATCCGCATATATCCATTTGTTGATATTTCGAATGTCATTACTCCAAGGTGAAATCAGACTATAGACAAACTAAAAGAACAAAATCTTGGATGCATTATTTAGAGGGCAAAAACTTATTTGTTACACCCACCGAATGAATACATGATATACGTATTGTAACGACCCGACCGGTCATTTTGAGTATTACAGCCTCGTTCCCTCATTTACTCTCATTTTGTGCTTTACAGTTATTATGTGACTTGCCGGGGTAATTGGTTCGGGTCCGGTGAAGTTTCAGAATGAATTGGAATACTTAGTTCCAATATTTAAAGCTTAAGTTGAAAGGTTGACCGGATGTTGATTTATGTATAAACGACCCCGAAATAGAGTTTTGATGGTTCAAATAGCTCTGTATGGTGATTTTGGACTTAAGAGTGTGTCTGGATATTCAATTGGAAGTCAGTAGTTGATTTTGGCTTGAAATGGCGAAAGTTGGAAATGGAAGGTTTGGAAGTTTTTCCGAGAGTTGACTTTTTGATATCGGGGTCGGAATTCAGTTCTGGAAATTTTGATAGGTCTGTTATGTCATATATGAATTGTGTGCAAAATTTGAGGTCAATCGGACTTGATTTGATACTTTTCGGCATCAAATGTAGAATTTGGAATTCGTTAGTTTTCATTAAGCTTGAATTGGGGTGCGATTCGTGTTTTAGTGTTGTTTAATGTAATTTGAGACATCGACTAAGTTCGTGTCATATTATGGGATTTGTTAGTATACTTAGTTGGGGTGTCACGACCCGAAATTCTCATCGTCGGGACCGTGATGGCGCCTGACATTTCACTTGCTAGGCAAGCCAACGTTAGAGAATCATTAAACCAATCCTTTTTCCACTCAGTAAATAACAGCAAATTAATTAAGA